CTATTTTTTAGGGAAGGGGCCTACAGAGTGTTCAGGCAACGCACCACCACACCCAGTCTCAATTGCTGTCTCAGCACACCACAGGGGTGGGGCTGGTATGGCAGACCTGGGGATCCAACCTCTGACCCCTGCTTTAATCTGCCTAGCTATTTGGCCAGCTCCTATAGTTCTTTTTTTTTTTCTTTTTAATGCATTTTGTAGAGGGTTTCACTATGCAGCTCGGAGTCATAGTGAGCCTCCTGTTTTCAGCCTTCCCAGAGCTGGGATTATAGGTGTACCCACGCCTGGACTCAGTGCCAGCTCAGTGCACCCGGGGGTGGGGCCAGCACAGCAGCAGTGCCAGGGATTGAATCCTGGTCCTTGGGTTTGCCTAAGCAGGCACTTAGTCCACTGAGCTATCTCACTGGCCCTTTTTTTTTTTTATATAATTCTGTATACATACCTTTATTAGTTCCTTAATCCCATCAATAAATACTTTATATCCATTATGTAGCACTTATTGTTCTGGGTATTGGATGGGTTCAGGAAAGAATAAGACGGATCAAAATCACCCTGCAGCCAGTGGGAAGGGTGAGGAGAGCAATCAAGTAGAGTCAAATGGAGACAAGCACTATTTTTATTTAATTTAATTAATTTATTTATTTTTGTGGTACTAGGGATTGAACACAGGGCCTTGCACTTGCCAGGCAAGCACTTATTCTACTGAGCTATCTTCCCAGGCACTCAAGCACTATTGTTTAAAGAAGGTAATAAGATGAAGAATGTAAGAAATGCTACTTTATTTCAGAGTTCAAGGAAGAGCTGTCTTTGAGCACAGATGTAGGATGAGAAAGCAAGCTATTGATATAAAGTTCAGACCTAACATTATTTATATTATTTTCTCATTGATTTGAAATATCTCCTCTACCACATGCTAAACTTTCATGTACACATTTGTCTATTTCTGTTCTCTCTCCTGTAGGATCACAGAATTTTATTTGGCACATTCAGATTTCTGAATTGATGAATTTAGTACAACCCAGATTTTTTGTTTTTGACAAGCCAGATGATCCAGAAACAATCTGGAGGAGATCAGTAGAAAGCCCAATGTTATGGTTTATGACTGGATGTCCCCCTAAAGTCTAATCCAGTCATGGGGTGGCTTTTTAGAGGTGGATGAATCTAGAGTTGTTGATTGACTCATTGTCCAATGCTGGGATTGAGAGTGTGAGGGATACACCTGCCCTAGGGTGGGTAGACTGCACACAAAATATGAGATAGAAAAGTCTTGTCTCTTGCTTGTTCCTTTTCTTCTACCTCCATGAGCTGTTGTTTGTTTATTTATTTGATTAAAGAAGGTAATCAAATACGCAGGGTCTCACTATGCAGTTCAGACTCACAGTGATCCTCTGTCTCAGCTTCCCCAGCTCTGGGATTACAGGCGTGCACCACCATGTCTGGTTTCAGGGCTGGCACTGTGTGCCTGGGGCCCAGGGTCAGCATGGCATGTGGAACTGGGGATCAAACTAGGGTCCTTGCACTTGTTAGGCAGGTGCTTAGACTGCTGAGCCATCCCCCTCCAACACCTTTTTTTTTTTTTTTTTTTTGAGACAAAGACTCACTATGTCACTGTATTGTTCAGGTTGACCTTGAACTCACTATGTGGCTGGCAGCAAACTTGCAGCAATCCTCTTGCCTCAGCCTTTCAAGTGCTGGAATTACAGGCCTGAGCCATCATGCCTCATCCACCATGGACTGTTGTCCCTCTGCCAGATGCCACTCTGCCTTGGAGCCAGCTGATTATGGACTGAAACCTCTACAAACTGTGAGCTAAATAAACTTTTTTTCCTCTAACTTTGGTTGTTGGGTATTTTGTTTCAGCAACAAGAAAAGTAACTAAGACATTCACCTTTGACATGGGACGTGAAGATGGTAACTCCAGTCTCAACATGCCTTTATATACCTATGATCCCAGTGTAATTGAGTTTTTTAAAAAAATATATTTGGTTATTATAGGGTCTCACTACGCAGCTTGGACTCATGGTGATCCTCCTGCTTTCAGCCTCCCCAGTGCTGGGATTACAGGTGTGCACCACTACCCCTGGACTCTGTGGCCAGCTTAGCCTGCCCTGGCGGCAGCACTGATGCAGCATGTGGTGCTGGGGATCGAATCTCAGTCCCTGCTCTTGCCTAAGTTTGTCTAAGCAGGCACTTTAGTCCACTAAACTATCACGCCAGCCACAGTTGAGGGTTCTTTTGATCAATTCAGATAGAAGTCACAAATCTGCAAAATGCTGCTCTGCTAGCAGTCCTGATGCCACTGAATGACACCAGGTAATGCTGGATGCTGTCTATCTGCACTGCTGGTTGCTGGTCTCTATCACTGTCGCCTGCCTTATCCAGCTTGTTATTGGATATTTGTTTGTGCATGGATTGTGTTACACTTTTGCATGTAACCTGCATTCTGTAACAGAATTACCTCGACATGGCAGCACATTCCTCAGGAAGCTGAGGCAAGAGGATCGTTTGAGACCAGCTTGGGCAACAAAGTGAGCTCAAGTCCAGCCTGGACTGCATAACGAGACCTTGCTTTAAAAAAAAAAAAAATCAGGATCCTTGGTCATTCTGCTCACCGCTGCATTTCCCCACCCCAAGGAGGACCTTTTGGTACAGGGGCACAGAAGGTCCTTTAGGAACCTTGATTGACTAAGTCTGGCTCCCAGGAAATAACGATAGAATAGAGTAATGAGAAAACTGAGGCACGGAGGAAGAAAACAGTGACATGGTTAAGACTCACAGCAAATTCGGAGCATTGAGAAGCAGGCAAGAATCAGTCTCCAAGGCTTAACTTTTGGCCTGGAGCCTGGGACGCTTACTGGCTAGTTGGCTGCAGCCTTCCCAAATGGGTGCGAAATGCCACATTGCACACTCAGGGACTTGCGTTTGACTTGGACGGACCTCGCAGAAATGCTGGTCCTGGTGGCCAGGAAAACAGGTGGTGCAGCAAACCCCTTACCTCTACGTCACCTGTCCCCCGGCAAAGCGAGACTACATTTCCCAGCACCCCTGGGGCGCGCCCGTCCCTGCCACGTGGCTTGTGTCTCCGCTGTCAGCCCGCTGGGGGCGCTGTGGCGAGCCCTCCGCCGCCCCGTAGAAATTTATGCGGTCCGGAGCCGTTTGCTTCCTGTTTGTTGGAGGAGACATGGCGGCGGCGGCGGCGGCAGGGGTCTGCCGAGGGAGACGATCGGTAGCAACAGTGGCAGCGTGGGGCGGGTGGGGCGGCCGGCCGCGGCCGGGGAACATTCTGCTGCAGCTGCGGCAGGGCCAGCTGACCGGCCGGGGCCTGATCCGTGCAGTGCAGGTACAAGGCCGGCCCGGAGGGGCGGGGTGGGGCGGACCAGGCGGGAGCTGGCTGGGGGCCGGGTAGAGGCCTTTCCAGGCCGCCGTGGGGCGGGCCAGACTTTCGGGGCCAGCCGCGGGGACTCCCTGTGGGCCGTACGGACGCTGTCAGTCGCGGCGGGGCGGGGGGCAGTGGCCGGCTGGAGGCCTGGGTCAGGCCGAGCGGGGCTGGCTGCTGCGGGCACCGATGGCGTGTACGAGCCGTGGGCCCAGTTTTCGGATCCTCCGTTCCCTGCGCCACGTACGCACGTCTGGGGGACCTTGGCGAGTTTGCTTAATTTACTATAGGTTTCTCCCCTGTGAATGAGTTTCTGTCCTGTGAATTGAGCGAGGGTCTTCACTGCAGCCCCCAAACGGTTCCCAGGCCTGTCGTAAATGTCATTTGCTCAGAGGCCTTACCTTGACGTTGCTCTTTACCTCTTTCCAAAGTAGGTCCCCGTTGTTACTCCGCCAGAGCCCCGAATTTGTTTCGTTCCCAATACTTTCTTCGTCTGTAATCACGTTATTTCTTTGTTGTCTGCCCTTCTCGCCTGTCTTCCACGTTAGTCTGACTCCCACGGACGCAGACTCAGGTTTGCCCGTGGAGAGCGTCATGGTTCAGAGCGAGACGCAACTCAGGCCTGGGCTCCAAGCGCTGCTTTCTGTCCTGCTTGGGCAAGTTACCTTTCTGTGCCTGTTTCCTCATTTGTAAGATGAGGATGAGAATTAGAACCTACCTTTTAAAGTTGTTATGAAGACCAAAGGAAACAGCTGGTTTAGCTGTCACTGCATTTCTGCTACCTAGTAAGGACAGAAGGGTAATCAGGTAATGTTATACTTAATGTCTGGCTTGTAATAGGTACCCCATGTGTGGTTACTGTCTTTTTGGATGAGTGAGGGACATTACTTGAAGGTAAAGCATGATGGATAAGACCTGGCCTTCTTGCGCTCCTCTCAGGACCCGTGGTCCCAGAACGTACCTGCAAACACCTGTAAAACAGTTCCATTTAAAGAAAGCTTTTCTGTAAAGTTTTCAAGGATAAACAAGAAACTTAATAAAGTGGTGGGTGGGAGAGGATTTGAAATTGGGCATAAGGAGGATAGAATGGGAGTGAGATTTTTCACAGTATGCCTTTATACTTTTTTTTTTTTTTTTTTTGCCTTTATACATTTAAATTTACTTTGGAGCCATTGGAAGGTGGACTAAGCTAAGCCAGGTGGCCTGCATCAGTTATCCCAACATTTGAGAGGCTGAGGCAAGAGCATTTCAAGTTCCACACTAACCTGGGTCACGTAGCAGGTTCAAGGCTGGCCTTGAAGTGGTGAGATCCTTGTCTTTTTTTTTTTTTTTTTTTTTAACAATGGCTACTTATTTATGGTCTTTTTGAGACAGGGTTTCACCAGGTAGTTAAGGCTGGCCTTGAGCTCACTTTGTAGCCTAGGCTGGCCTCAAACTTGCAACATTCCTCCTGCATCAATCTCCTAAGTGCTGGTATTATAAGTGTGTGCCACCACACCAGGCTCCAGACCCTGTCTTGAAAAGGAAAAAATAAAGGGTGCACATAAAGGAGTGGTTGTCCTGGACACAGACAGCCATAAATGAGTTACTTTTTTTTTCCCTCGTGAATTCCTATTTGCCTAAAGAAGATCCTGGAAATATCTGCTGTGTCCTCCAAGCTGGAACACATTAGCAAGCTGGGCATGTGAGGACAGGCAGAAAAGGGACTGACTAACCTTTCTTTATCTTTTCTTAAATGTATTTGATATAGAGTCTGACTACGTGCCTTTGAATTCCTAGTGATCCTCCTATTTTCAGTTTTCCTAGCGCTGGGATTACAGGCATGCACCACCATGCCCAGATGGCTGGCTCAGCACGCCTGGGGGGTGGGACTGGTGTGGCAGGTGGTGCCAGGAATGGGGATTGAAACCTGGTCCCTACGCTTCCCTAAGCAGGTGTTTAGTCCGCTGAGCTATCTCTCCAGCCCTGACTCACCTTTCTTAAGTGAGCATGTACTTTGGTTTGTTGTTTTGTTTCTGGTCCTGGGGATTGAACCAGGAACTTGTACATATTGGGCAGACATTTTAACACTGAGCTACATCCCTAGCCCATTTAGATCAAGCATCATGCAAAATGTACAGTATCTTTAATTCTCTCAACATAAATGAGGAAACTAAGGATCAGAAGGTTAGGTCATATGATCTCAAACAGAGATCCAGATAATGTATGTTCTAAAAACAAAAAGTAGAAGGTTTTTCTGGCCAAGCGTAGTGGCACACACCTGCTGTCGCAGCACTCAGGAGGATGAGGCAGGAGCATCGCCTTGAGTTCCAGGCCAGCTGGGACCACACAGCTAGACCCTGCCTCAAAAAGTTTTGTAGCCTGATGAATGAGGCAGTTAGGAAAATCTTATTTGTTTCTAGTGCTGAAAGATTTAGGATGGGAGGAATTTTCAGGAGCTCACCAGATTAGAACACTGCTGGAAAATATGAGACTTGTGTAGGCTAGTTATCATGGTAACTGATGGGTGCATGTGGTGTGGGAACAGTAACTGAAGTACAAGCCCCTACCCAGAGATACGGTGAGGATAAATGGAGACCGTCTTTTGTGTTTCCTTTCTGTATTACTCTCTTCGAACTGTTCTTCTTCTTCTTTTTTTTTTGTATTTTAGGGAAGGGGTTACAGTGTATTCAGGGTCTCACTACCAAATCAGACTCATAGTGATCTGCCTGTTTACAGCCTCCCAAAAGCTGGGATTACAAGCAAGTGCTACCACGCCCAGTCTCAGCTGCCATCTCAGTACACCCCGGGGTCCAGGCTGGCTCAGCGGCAGGCCCGGGGATCAAAGCCCCAGGCCCTGCACCTACTTGCAGGTGCTTTAATCCGCTGAGCTATGTGGCTGGCCCTCTTTGATATGTTCTTACTCCACCCTCGTTTGCCCCTCTTAAATGCTGCAGAATAAATTATTAGCTCACCAATCTTTCCATTGCACAGTAAACATGCCTGTTAATGACATGTAGGAAAGCTTTTTGTTTTTTACATTTATATTAGTACATTTTGTAGTACCTGATGATTGCATTTGTCCTGGGAGAGTTGCACACATATAGAACACGTGTTATAGAACACATGTTAATTCTTTTTACGTCCCCCTTTCTTCTCCCAAAAGTAGCTTTTTTTTAAAAAAAAAATTGAAATTCTTGTAGAATATATATAATGAAGTTTTTCATCCTAGCTATTTACAAGTGTACATTTCAATAGTGTTAAGTATATTCGTGTTGTATAACAGATCTCCAGAACTCTTTCCTCTTGCAAACCTGAAATTGTATACCCATGAACAACTCATTTTCCCCACCCTCAGCCCTTTCCATCCAACCTTCTGTTTCTGTGAGTTTCACTGTTTTAGATAATAATCTCATAAGTGGAGTCGTGCAATATTTGTCTATAGTGATTGGTGTATTTTACTTAGAATAATGTCCTCAAGGTTCCTCTGTGTTGTAGTATGTGATGGAATTTTCTTGAAGACTATCAGTTTTGTACTAAGATGGATCTGAATGGAATCCTAGTTCTGTCCCTTCCTGGCTGAAGGACCTAAGTTGAGTTAATCTATTTGAGCCTGTCTCCTTATTTCTTAAATGACAATAAAAGCCAGGTGTGGTGGCACACATCAGTAGTCCCAGCCATTTAGGAGGCTGAGGCAAGTGGAGTGTCACAAGTTTGAGGCCAGCCTGGGTTACATAGTGAGCTTACGGTGAGCCTGAACTACATGGTGAGATCCTGTCTCAATTCCTACCTCCAAAATTGTTATCTATAGGACTGGGGAGATGGCTTAGTAGAATAAGCGCTTCCCTGGCAAGCACAAGGGCCTGAGTTCAATCCCTGGTTCTGGGGAAAAAAAAAAAAAAAAAGGTTATCTATTATGGAAGGTTTTAAAAAATCATATGTTTAAAAAGTTTGGCCAGTGCAGCACATATGTATGTGCAGAGCCTGAAACCTTGCCAGGCACTTGATAGAACTCAGGAAAATGAAATGAAATGCTGTATCCTTGATTCTGTCTCTGCTCACTCTCCATCAGTCTCAGCTTTGAAGAGTTCCAGAGTCAGACTACCTAAAGTTTAAAAGCTGAATCTGATACATACTTGCTCTGTGTCTTTAGGCAAGTTACTTATTTCCTTATGCCTCAGTTTCTTCATTGGTACAATAGGGATAATCATAGAACCTAACCCCCTAAAGTTGTGATGAAGGCCAAGTGGGTTTATGCATATAAAACACTTCAAATGGTAACTGAAATATAGTAACTATGCTATAAAGGTTGGCTTGGACTGTTACTAATAACTACTCTGTGTTATTATGGGTCTTATCTGCATTTCTAGTCCTGATTTCTCCCTATAGCTCCAGGTGGGTAGGTACTGTGTATCCAGCTACCTGCTGAGCATTTCCATCTAGACATCTAATGGACAACCTAAACTTAAAAATGTTCAAAGTCAAAATCTTAATTCCTCTTCCATAAAATTTCATCTTCCCTAACTATAAATATATATAAGGAAAGCTGCAGAGAGGACTAAGGCCTCCCTGGTTTAGCATGGGCCTCTCCTACTTGGATTTTAGTTTGCCTTCCTGCCCTTTGGTCCTGCCCTCTGTCAGGGTAATAAAATTTGCCAGCAGCATGCTTCACAGGTTAGGAGTTTACCAAGCCCTTTCTTCCTCATGGCACCTTTGATCCTTAAAGCAAATCAGGTCTTATAAATCCCCGGTTTAGGGCTGGCAAGATAGCTCAGTGATCTAAGTGCCTACTTAGGCTAGCGCAGGGACCAGGGTTGGATCCTGGAGACCACATGCTGTGCCGACCCCGCCCCTGGGTGTGCTTGGCCCTGCCCCTGGGCGCTGAGCCTGCCAAGTCCTGGAGTCCAGGTGTGGTGGTGCACACCTGTAATCTCAGCACTGGGGAGACTGAAAATAGGAGGATCACTACGAGTTCAAGCTGTGTG